CAAAAAAGTCCTGAGGCTTGTCAAGGCCAACGGATGCCTCGTCCTGGAGACCAACCGATCTTTGCTGGCAAGTTCGGGGCACCGGACAGTACTATGCACACCTCTAGGACACACGAAGATGTGATGCACAACGCCAAACCCTCAAGCCTAAAGCCCTAACCATGAGGCTCTGAGTCAAAAGCGAAATGTAGGCTCGAAAGGCCTGCAGGCTAGAATAGTGTACTTACAACAATCAAGTTAGGATAGAGCGCGAACAGGGTGAGAGTTCATGCGGCATTCGAGAATGTGGGGCTACGGCGGCTTTACTGTCGGGTTTAGATCTGCGGGGGGATTCAGGGTTCAGCATGTAGCTAGGGTTTGCTGAAAATAAAGGCCAAGTCAAAGTTTGAAGCCCTAAAGCCTTCATGGCCAAAGCTCCCGATGCGAATCCCGTGCCTCGGGATGGAGCTTGTACTTCAAGGCTTAGAGTGTACCTTAGACTACCAAGGCTTACCTTTTATGGTAGGCTCTGATTATGAACACTAATATGGAAGGTCTAGGGCTCTACAAAAAGTGGAGATTAGCCGAGGTTGGCTTTGGGTCAGGAGTCACAGCAGCTGCTGTTGGACCCTGCACCTTAGCATCTAAACCTTCCAAGAACTCTAGACCCTAAACCCTCTAAGCCTAAGCTTCTACAGCCCTGAAGCCCTAAAAACCCAAAACCTCTACAACCTAAGTTTCCCTGAACCCAAAAACCTCCAACTACCCTAAGACCTAAGCCCTGAACCCTGAACCCAAAAAGCTCCGACTACCCTAAGACCAAACGCCCTAGAAGCCAGGCCCATGATCCTTTACTACCGAGGTCAACCGTAGACCTCTGAACCCCTTCAACAAAGGGTTTAGGGTTTAGGGGAGAACCCTGTGAACCCTACAAGTCCTAGAGCCCCAAAGCTCCCTAAACCCTATACATAAATGGGAGTTTCCCAAAAATAAGAGATACCTTATCTGGAGGTCCTTATATTAACGAGCCTACTATTTAGGGTACTATTTCCGGGTCCTCTATTTTCCGAAACCCCCAAATCTTGAATCCTAGCCCCGAAACCCTAAACCCTAAACCCTAAACCCTAAACCCTAAACCCTAAACCCTAAACCCCGAAACTCTAAAGTCATGATCCTGGGCGACCGAGGAGACAAGCTGAACCAGATCGTGGATGAAAACTCGGTGCCGGGACGACTCATTGGAGGGCTTTCGCGTTTAGACCCGCTTTAAAGCTAATTTGGGCTATTCAGGGTTCTATTTGGGTTTAGAGTTGGGGTTCAGGCTTTGGAATTTAGATTTTAGGTGTCAGGGTGCTGGGTGGTAAATTGTCCGATGTAGGTGGGCTGTTTCCGAGAGTCCGAAACATACTGGCTATGTAACCCTTGTCTTGCCCTAAACCCTAAACCCTAAACCCTAAACCCTAAACCCTAAACTTTCTATAAACCCCTTCAGAAACCATGGAAAAACCTTAGAGGCCGTATAAAATCTGAGACTCATCAAGACCCTCGACAAGTTTACATCACCTTCCAACCCGAAGATGGCCAAAGAGCCGAGGATCTGACGAAGGCGCTGTTGCAGCTGCTGGTAGACAGCCGGAACCGCTCCCCTGCCTAAACGTGGCATTTAGGGGTTTAGGGCTTGAGGAGTGTAGGGCTTTAGGGTTTAGGGCTTCGGGCTTTAGGGCTTTGGGGCTTTGGGGGTTTAGGGTTTAGGCTTAGGGTATAGGGTTTATAGGGTTCAAGTTTTGCGCGTTCCTTGACGGGTTCCTAAAACGGTTCCTAGAAGGATCTCTGAAGACTTCCAGGAGTTGGTTCCTAGAAGTTTCTATAAGGCTTGAAGAGGGTTGCCTGAAGGGTTCCCTTAAGGCGGGCTCCTGAAAGGGCTCCAGCCCCTGAAACGGAAACGGTTTAGGTTTTAAGCTGCAGGCAGAGCTTGTTTTGGGTGCGCAGCGGTTGGGAGTCGCTGAGGCAAGAGTTTATCGCTGAATCTTCTCTTGGACGGCTGTTACTGTGACCATGACGATGAGATGTTGATGCCAGACCCGAAGACCTCAAAATTTTAAACCCTAAGCCCTAAACTCTGAACCCAAAGCCCTAAACCCTGAAGCCCAAAATCCCTGGATGCTGCTGAATATTTTAACCAACAAGTACCCACCAGCCCTGAAGCCACAAAGACTTCAAACCCGAAGAGGTCATTCAAGGTTTAGGGTCTACATAATAACCCATGCTATCCCTAAACCCGAAAGAAGGCTCTTAGAGTCTTAGCACTGTAGGTGTAAGGCTTTATTTTGCTAGGCTTGGGGTTCGGGCTTGGGTCTAGACTTTAGGGTTTAGGAGTTTAGGGTTTAGAGTTGAAGGTTTTGAGTGTAGGGTTTCGGGGATCAGCTTAACCCAGCCACAACAACTCCACACAGCCACCCCCTAAACCCTAAACCCTAAACCCTAAACCCTAAACCCTAAACCCCCTTCTGCAATTGAGGCCTGTTGTAGGGGAGGGCTGCTTTCAGGGGCCCTTGTGAAAGTCAACGCATACAGGAGCCTTAAATACCCAATCCTCAATAGCCTTAAAGATCTTCGGGGTGCCTAGAAATTCTTCATTTGGGGTTACTATAATCCCCAAGACCCTAAGAAACAGCTAGACTTATGTAATTAAGCACCTTGATCAGCAAGCCTGAACTGCCAAGACGTACGGAAGTCGCGAAACTCCCGTAACGAGCCCTGCAGGAATGAAACGGGATACTGAGACGCGCAAGGAGCACGCTTATCTCTAAACCTTAAACTCTAAATCCCAAACCATAAATTTCCCAAAACCCTTAAGTCTTAATCAATCCCTAAACTGTTAAACACAAGCCCAGGAGACTGCCCACACTGCGGAGACGTCGCACTTTGAGTTCGAGGGCTGAGAGTTCCTGCAGCTGTCGGCTACCTCGGCTGCGCCGGGCCCACCCAGGGCGACCCTGCACTGACCATGGCGGTAGGGAGTACTAGGAGTGGTGGTGGTGGTCCACCGGTGGTATAGTAGTAGTAGTAGTAGTAGTAGTAGTAGTACTACTACTACTACTACTACTACTACTAGTAGTAGTAGTAGTAGTAGTAGTAGTAGTGGTCCTGCTACTAGTACTAGTAGTACTAGTAGAACTAGTAACTAGTAGCACTAAGGTGCACTAGTAGCACTACTAGTACCTTTCGTACCAGCAGCAGTAGCTCAGCAGTAGTAGGAGCAGGGTGTCCCGGGGAGGGCCGAGCGGGGATGCACTCCAATTGACCTGCACCCTGCGTGATCGAGGAGGTCCAGTGACGCCCAGGAAGAGGCAGCACAACAAAGGTAAGGCTCGGCGCAAGATGGACGAGGAGGCTACGGGATGCCGGATGTGTAGAGCCTGTAGCTGTCATGCTTGTGTAAAAAAAATTGTCATGTATTGTAATCGTCTTGTCGTGTGGTTGTTTATGGACTTCTGCTCTTTGCGGCCATGCCAGCCAGAGTCCATTTGGCCGACCTTTTCGGCTAAACTTCCTGGAGGTGGAGACTCAGGTCGACACGAGGAACGAGTTGGCTCGAAGGGCTCTGCAGCGTGTCTGGGCTATCTCATGTATGTCCTTTCTGGGACCAGGAGAGCAGCAAAAATCCGAAAGACCCTAAACCCTAAACCCTAAACCCTAAACCCTGTTGTTAAACATTCCCATGCCCGGAGGTGCAATGCATGTACGGTACCAGGTACCTGTAGAGCCTGCTCGAATGTGTCGAAGCTCCCGAGAATCCGACGGCAAGCAGCTGACCGAAAGCAGGTCTCGCCGAAGTTTCAAAGAGTGCCTTGGAGGTTCATGGGTAGGTATAAGTAGGGTTCTAAGTCCCCTAATATGGGTTATAACTATAGTTACCCTACTTATAACCCCACTTATAACTACCCATGAACCTCCAAGTGCTTGCCCTGATCCCGATCGAAGACTTTTCAAGGGAGCTGGAGCTGAAAGGTTCCGAGCATCCTCGAAGAACAGCGTGAGGTTCGACCCCGGAAGAAGCTCCAGAGGTAGGGGCATCTGCGACTCAGGGCCTCCGAGCTTTGAGTAGCTTCGATGCCAAGCATGTCGAAGCCTGATTATTTTGAAATCTGCGTGGTGCAGCACGCAACCGCGTACCTTCTGCGAAACTTGAGGAAAGCCGATCTGCATGTGCAATTGGCAGTTTCCCAGAGCCGGAGAAAGCAGCATGGTGCTGCTGATGCTGTGCAAGCTGGCGAACCCCGCTCCAATCCCACTTTCCTAGGATTCCGGGGTCCCAGCTGCCATCGTATCACAGAAGCCTCCGGCATACGGCGTTTTCCAAACACCCCGGAGCGCAGGATTTCAATCGGCGATGGCCAAAAAAGTCCTAAATATCCAGAGCCGAACCTCTGTTCTGTAGTTGTTTCGTAAGAGCTCAGCAAGGAGAGGAATTAGGTCTTGTCAGTAGTGTTAAATCATATTAGATAAGAGAGTCTTCATCCGTGCCACAGACATCCGGGCTTCGGAGAGGACATTTACATGGTTTCGGACTTGGTTTTCATGCTCCTGGGCCTTTCGAAAGCATTATCTACAATCAGCCACACTAAACCCTAAACCCTAAACCCTAAACCCAATGGGGCAACCCAACCTCAAGCCTGCCAAAGAGGAGCAGCCTTGACGACCAGCAGCAGCCTCCTGAATCAACTGCTTAGACAAAGTACCGCCTAACCCCTTTTTAGTTCCCAAACCCTAAACCTAACCCTAGACCCTAAAACCTAAACCCTATACCCCCTTGTTGCAAAGGCTTTACAAGTCGGATCTTTCGAGTTGGGCTGCTTGATCCGTAAATCCAATCCTCTGCCGCGAGCTTTGTTAAAAGAGCCAGTTCAAGTTACTAAACCCTAAACCCTAAACCCCTATACCCTAAACGCTAAACCCTAAACCCCCTAAACCCCTGAACTCTAAACCCTCTAGCAAGGCGCTCTCTTTTGTCAGCCAAGGATTTGGAGCGTGAGAAGGAGAAGGAGCGGCAGAAGGAGCTCGAGCGTCGAAGAGAGGCGATTCAGGGTGTAGGGTTCGGGGCTATGGGTTTTAGGGTTCATGGTTTAAGGCTTTTAGGGTTTTAGGGTTTAGGGTTCAGGGCTTATAGGGTTTTAATTCCCCAAACAGCTTTAGCTG